CTATGCAAAGCGCATGTGAACCTGAAACTTTAGTGAGCTTTAACCAACTCTGTATATAAAAGACTCTTTGCTTATGTGTCTGTGGAAGTGTCCAACCCAATTGGTCAAGAAGTAGCTTTTTTTTTCTTCCCTGATGCTTTCACTTCAGGTACTCTGGCTGCCAACATACTGTGCTGTTTACTGTGTGTCAGAGAGAGCACCCAGGGGAGATGTCCCGTCCAGCCCAGGGCGCTGCCTGCAACGTACGTGGAAGGGTGTGTTGATACCCTCATTCTCCTTCACGTCAGAAGTGCACCTTTGACACAAATCCCCTATCATCCCAATTTTAAGGTGCTTTGGTTTGTCTCAGCAAGCAGCCAATGGAGTTTGCACTGTTTAGAAACCTTGTAGGTGAAGAAATTCCTATCGCATTGCAAATAAATCTAATTATTCATAAATATTCAGGTAAGCTGCCGTTTCCAGAGCAGGGTATGTAGTTTATGACCTCTTTGGCTTTGTTTCGTGCTTCTTTAGAGCCTTTCAGAAAAGCTGTGCTCATGTAACTGTATTGGAACTTAGTGAATACCAGTAAAATTTATTTTAAGGGAGAACTTGTCCAGAGTGGAGCTGGGGTACCTGCGACTGATACTATCCTGCGTACATACTGGAACTGTACCTGAAGCTTATGAAATCTGGAAGGAGAAAGGAGGTTTCTTTGATGAGATTTGTTGCTTAAGATATTAGTTTGTCTGACAGAAAAAGGCTCCTTGTGGATTTTGATATAGTTCAGACTGGAGACAGTGAAGAAAATGTATTTCTGCTACTTTTTTTAAATAGGGAACTTAATCTCTCTGGAAAATGCAGGCACAATTTCTCTTGCCTACAAATGTGCCAAAATTATTTAAATTTGCAATTGATTATTTTTGCTTCTTGCAGCCTTTCTCAGAAGCGTTTTGTCGGTTTTCTGAGAGCCTGGTGAGCCCACCCAAAGAACCCTGCAGTGAAAATGCTAGGGAAGTGAAAGACAGCTCAATCACAAAACTTGAAGCCCCAAATCCCAGTACCTAGCCAGCTATTCCACAGAACAACTTGGTGTATTTTATTTGTAATACCTAACTTTTGCTTTGACATCCCGAGTCTCATCTGTGAAGAGGTTTCCAGGGTTCCAGCTGTATACTTAAATGCCAGCAGCACTTAAAACAGATGTATGGTATTTTCTAGGTTTTTAAAGCATGCTGCAATTGTAGGATCTCCACAGGTTTCTACAAGAGATGGCAACGGTATCAATGATGCTGGACTCCCAGTATAGCCACAAAACATGAGCAAGACTTTTTTTATTACATAGGATTCTTGAAAATGAATCTCACATAAGTGGTTGAAAACATGAAATAGGTCAGTGCTCTCTCTTCTACTGTTTTGAATCTACTGTCATGCTTCTCAGTGTTTCAGGATGGCTTTAATTTCTATTACAGCTTAATCTCATGGAGTGAGTTTTACAAAGGTCTAAAGTATTTGTGCCACCTTAATTTTCGCTCAGTTTTAATCACCCCCTTTGAAATTTCATAGGCTTTGAGTTGGCGTGGGTGTGATATAGGGGGAAAAACAATCAGGATGATTCTAATTGTTAACTGTAAAGAGCTTAAAGTAATTGGGGTTGTGGAGTAAGTGACTTATCCTGCTTACAGCAGTCACTTGTGGGGTTGTACTTAAAAGGGAATGTGATTTTTGAGCACAAGGAAATGTAGGTTCTCCTGTCTTCTTACTCTCCACCTTCCTAGTGTGTTCAGTACCTGATTTTTTTCCCCCAAAAATGAGAGGATTGCAGCTCACGCAGACCTTATCTTTTAATTGAAAAATGTCACAATAAGCAGAGATCAAGCATGAAGACTTAAAAAACAAAATTAAAATATCACATATAAGTTACAGTCTCAACAGATGTTTAACTGCTGAGTTGTTTGAACTGGACATTTACTTAAGAAAGCATCTGAATATACAATATTAAACATTTTAACTAGCTGTTTGTAACTAGCCAAAGATAATTTTTAAGATATTAAAATACAGACTGTCATTCTGAAGTATTTTAAAAATATATTTGACTTGAACAGAGTTTGCTTGCAAGATTTACTTATAGGAATACGCTTGCTGCCTGAAAAAACATGAACGTGTTTCTGCCTCGCTGAAGTTTTTCGCTTTCTCAGTTGAGTTGCACAAACTCTCCTATCTTGCTGCATTCAGGAACTTGCTACGTATAAGTGCTCCACACTATAAAAATACATCAGTTTTCCAGAAGTTAGAAGTGGGCAATATCTGTAGGAGAGCAGTAGGAAGTTGTATTTTTGATATGTATGGTAATTTTATGCTTGGCATGGAAGGGAATCCTTGTTTTAGGGATTTATTGCAGCTTTGTGGATACACTAGTGCTTTCTATTTTGCTTAGAAAACTCCATTAAATTCTAAGTTAACTCCATTAAATTATAAGGAGATGAAAGATAGGTATAGCAGATAGATACATGGGTTAAAAATGAACAAAAGAAACTAAGCAAATTTCCCCAAGAAGACAAAAAACTGCCAGGTTTTTGTCCCACATCTGTCTAGGGGACTGGATAAAGACTGCAGGGCTGAGGCCCTCGCAGTCCCCAGCCACCTCGGCTGATGAGCGGCACCTCCACCCTGACACGGAGCCACGCAGCGCAGTCCAGTAATAACATGCAGTTTTCTTGCTTATGTGATTAGCTTCCATGGGATACTTAAGTTTTATTTGTCCGTTATTCTCTACAACTCACCCAAAAAATCATTCAAAAAAAATTAATGATTTTCTATAAATGTTTGGTGAATTCTGATACTCACTGCTAGGAAAACAAAATTTGTTTTCAGTCATTTCCATATCCAGTTGTCAACGTTACATAAGATCTTCTTTTAAATACCAGTTTTGTTGCAAGAATTTACAATTCTGTAACTTTTTTTTTTTTCCCCTCAAGTGGGTGGCCAGCAGAAGGAGGTCTTGGCTCTCTCTTTCCTTTTTCTATTTTCAGTGGTGAAGGCACCTGCTGGGCGTCCAGGCTAAAAACAGCTCCACGGGAAGTAGATCTTTTATTTTCTCGAGAACATGGGAGGTAGCCATGGGCAACTGCTTTTAAACGCGGAGCTCACTGAAGTTCAGCCTGGAGAGAATCAAAATGTTGGCTGAAGCAATAAAAAATGGTGGAGTTGAGCCCTTCTGATTTATTAGGTCTTTCAGAAATTCAGGTTCTCAGTCTAAGTAAACCATGAATTTTGGCTGGACTCAGGAAGCTCTAGCTGCTTGTTTTGTTTAGTTTCCATGCTCTGTAAGCTGGAAATTTGAACTTCTCCAGTCAATTATATTTTTGCTCACATCCAGTTTGGATTACTCTTACCTTCTGTGAGTAAATGTTGTCTACACAAGCTAGATGTAGAATTCAAACTCATGTTCCAAGTACAAATACAGGCCAGGAGAAACCATTTTATGACATGATCTCTTAGTAATGAGCAACTGTTTTGTCTTCGTGGTTCATCTTGGCGTTGCAGAGCTGTCACATCCTTTAACAAGCCACTTGCAGGAGAAATCTTAGTCGATTCCTACCTCATCGCTATAAGTTTGCGAAGACTTAGATCCTGTTATGCCACACTGCGTTAACGGGGTATCGTATGGCCTTTGCTTCAAAGAACCTACAGTCTAAATGAATAAAACCAGACTTGGATTGAGAAAGTGTTATGAGACATAGCAGAAAGAACAATAAAAACGGCAAGCACGGTTTACACAGTCTTATTTGCTTCTGTCACGGAGTTGTTAGGAGTTTGAATTCAAAAGATGGGCATGGGGAGAGGAGGAGGGAGCGCTGGGAAGTGAGAGTAAAACGAAGCAGGAAAAAAACCAAACGTGAAAGACGAGGGAAGGCTGGAGGAAAGAAGGGAGTGCAAAGCAGAGGCCAGCCAGCCAGCTCACGGTGTTTTTGGGATGTCTGATTCCGAAAGATGGTCTGTTCAGGTACCCATTCCAGCTGCCCTTCCTGCCTGGAGTCCATCCCATTCCCCAGAGCAGGATTCCTCCTGTGGCACCTGAGAGGGATAAATAAGGTAGCGTGGGGTCCCCCAACCCTGGCCGTGCACAAGGGGGTCCCCAGCAGAGCCCGGCGGCCCCGCCAGACCTCGCGTTCCCCGGCTTGTCAGTGTCTTGATATATCTCGAGGATAATGTCAGTAAAATACAGCGTGTAATTAATTGCTTGTGGACATTCTGAAGTTACCTTTAACAAACCTGATGGAGGCTTTGAAATATTTTAGATTTTTGAAGCTTTAAGAGTGGAAGAAAGTCTCAAATTTGAAATGCATGAATTGTGGAGGAGGAAAGAGGTTGGCTATTTAAGTGGTTGTATATCCTTTCTCTCTTTGAAGGAACCAAAGCACACTACAGTTTCCATTTTGATGAGTCTACATTAAAAATTTTAAATGATCCTAAATGACTTTAAATTGTGGACTTGTGCCTTCTCCCTTCCCATGTGTTAGAATTCCTATTAGCACTACTTTGTCCTTGTTTCTGAATTATTTTAATGACGGCAGCCGCTCCACCAAGCTGTCTGTCAAGATGTGGGTGGCAGGCTATTATTTCACTTCATAAATCATAATTTACAGGTTTTTTTTATATCCATCTTGGGGATAAACACTTTATGCTTTGTGTTTTCAGCAGCAATATAAAATGTAATTGATACTTAAAGCAATATGTTAGAAATATGGACATAGAAAGCCAGGGGAGAAAAATCACAAATGTTTAGTTTTCCTGTGGCTTGGTCTACATACTGAGCATTTTTTCCATCTGATTTCATATTCTTAGCACTTCAACAGAGGATGATGATGAATTACATTTACATGATTGCTGCCTGTAGGTTACTCTAAGGATGTTTCTTTAGTTACAGGCACTCAACAGATCAGTTAACTCATCAGGGTTATTTGTTATGTTTCTTTTGCTGCTAAATAAACTTACCGTTTTGTGCTATTGTCTTCTAGATTCATGAAAAACTACATTATTATGAAAAGCAGAACCCAGTGCCCATCCTGCACGGTGCAGCAGCCTTGGCAGATGATGTAAGTGTCCCCTGCTGAGATCACGGGTACCGAGTCTCCCAAAAAACTGTCTGCAAGCAGACTCCTCATGGTGCAAACATATGCATGTAATCCTCTGAGCTGAAATCATAAGAAGCAGCAAATGTTTCCAGAGGTGCTGTCATCACTGTGCTTGTTGCTGATATTACTTTGATATTTATTCACTTGCCTGTTGCAAAAACATTGCTTCTAGATAGCCTCTTGTTCTGCTTTGGTAACGACGTAATAGAAATTACAGGTTGGAACTCTATTGGGAGGGAAAAAGCTGTCAACTATTAGTGTTTTGAGAAAGTCACAGACAAGAGGAATGCTTTGGAAAAATAAAGACAAATGAGATAGCTGTTCCGCTGACAGAACATGAAAAATGACAGATAATAGTACAGAAATGAGGCATATGAAATGTCTAGGAAGAAGGGTTGTTGAAAAAAAAAACTATTTAACAAAAAGTACAGTAGTGATTTATGGATATTGGTGCTTTCCAAATTACCTTCATAACCAAAAAATAAATTGTAGAAGTGGTCGGCATTGATGGAGTAGTTAATTTCCTGTTACTATAACTTTTATGTTAAAGAAAAAAAAATCCAACCTGCCATTTCTTGCTATTTGGTTAATTCTAGGATTCAGATGAATTGTGCACACACCTGTATAAACTATGACTGAACTTGAGGTAGGCCAGGACAGAGAAATGTTTAATAAACTGTGGTTTAGGTGAAATCCAGAAGTCTTTGTTGCAAGTGATGATCTCAGGTTGTTTTTTGGAAAAGGGAGAATGTGTTGGGATCTGTTTCAAATATAGCATGTTTGAAGCTTGTCGTATTTTATAGCGGTTTTAAAAGCTTAGCTGATTTTTTTTTACATAATTAATACCCTTTGATTTTAAATTAGACAATTGGTTAAATGTTGTGAATTGAGAATGGCAACATCCTAAAGAAACACTAAATTAAATATATTACAAGTATATATAAAACAGGATATATCGTAATTTAATAATGTTTCAGCGGGAAGAAATCTATATCCTGTGACATACCAAATATAATAATGCATTAGCTTTGACATTAGGCATATATCAGTAATATTTTTATAACCTTCAAGTAGCTTTGAATTAATGTTAATAATAATTTTGAAAATTAGAAAACTAGTTGAAATTGTCTTTATTAAGATCCTGGTGACATATTAATAACCCTTGTCAACGTTTGTGTTACTGATCTGTGGACTAAAATTCTTAATAAGAATCAGTTTCTTATTTTTGGATGCAAAATGTAGTTTTTGTTGTTTTCAAAGATGCCAAAAAACTTTGGTCTTTCTTCTGCCTCACTTAAAATGTTTTGGATCAAAAACTCCAGAATTATACTATGACTTTTGAGCTAGCTGGGAGGTTTTACCTTATGAATTTATTTCAGTAATGTTTTTTAAATGTATGCAAGTTAAGACGTGACTATCTGTAGACACCTGCCTACTCCACATGCACAGCTTCTCTTAAAGATCCTCTTGTTGGTGCTTCATTTTTGTGGATACTGGAATCACTTGTTTTATGAGCAGTGTCCTATAAAAGTGAAGTGTCCCCTGGCAGCTGAAGGCAGGCTATACATTGCAGGGTTAGGTATATTGTCAGTAGTTACCAGCAACCTCCAGGCATGCAAGTTAAGGTAGTACATTAAGTAAATTAAGAGTGAGTACAATGTTTTTTATAACTGTAAGATACATGGGGTTTTAGCACTGAAGTGCTAGTCAGCGTTTGGCACATTTGTCTGACTGGTTGTCAGCTTCAGGGATTTAAGAGCATGTTAGTGATATAGCACACACTTTTATTTCAATGTGCATTAAATTGATGTTTTTTTCCCTAGTGATATTAAGTGCATTTTAGTGAAAACAAACCAGGAAGTATTCTTATTAACAAATTTGTAGTTCCTGTTTAGCTTAAAACCTAAATTTGAGGGGCCGCTAATATGGCCTTTATTCTTCTGTTCAGTACTGAGGTAACAACCGGCACATTCCCATGTTCCTAGCAGCCTTCCCTTCTCTCCCCTGGCTCCCAGGGAATTTTACACTGAATTTCCCATCAGAGTTTCAGTTTGCCCCTTACTTTGGAGTGCTGGTGCCTCTATAGGGCCATATAGGGCTTTTGCTTTGATGCAAACCATGCAGACATGTCCTAAAATACAGTTGGTTGCGCACTGTGAACTAGGCCTTGAAGTTACTGGAAGCACTATACTAACAAAAGAAGTTTCAACACATTCCCAAGAAACTTCCAACTCTCCAGCCCTGGTATTCCCTCCTTAGCCCTGGCTCTGCCTTGCTCTGGTTGCCCCTCTCAAGAGTAGCCACTTTTCATGAAGGGTTGGTAAAATGTTTGGTTCCCCCAGCAGTGGGTTTGGGAAGCGCTTCCCTGGCCACTTCCTGGCAGTCCTTGGCACATCTGGGGATCAGCTGTGGTAACGATGTTTGTTCCCAAAGAATCCCACCAAGCTGCCACCGTTAGCAGTCACAATCTTTGCACTTCAACACCAGCAAAAAGCAAACAAAAATCCAGTGCAAAACTGGCGGGAGCAGAGCAGGCCGCGCTGGTGACAACCGTTGGCTGACAGGAGCACCACTTGGGGCTCCTGTTTCTCTAGACATCACAAGTGCTTAAGGTGCACTGAGGTTAGAAACAGTCTGTTCGAACACCTCAGTACTATTTCTTGTTTCTTACTGTTCAAAGCCTTGGGTACCTGTATCTACACCCACACCATCAAAGCAGATGGCAGCTCAGCTTGTTCACATCATTCGAGAAGCCCTGGAGCACCCATTCCTGCAGCCTCATTAGTGTCTGATCAATGAAGCTACAGACGCCTCCATTTTATTCCCTAGTAATGAACAGCACAAGCCCCAAATGAAAGGAGAACAAATGAGAACCTGAAGCCTTGGGCTGCGCTCACTTCTCTTACAGGTTATTTGCAGCTTGGCAAAGCTCTGCCCCAGAATTTGCAGACTAGATTTCTGGCAGATTACCTTGATCCCTGCTTTTATGTGAATCAGGTATTTCATTTTGGCCTTTCCTGCACTGTTTTTTTTTTTTTTTCCCTAATCCCACTGTATAGATGTAAGAAGATTGTTAAGACTAGCATTGATGTGTTTGATAAATGATTTTGCATTATGAATTCCAGGGAATGTAGGTGATAAATTTTTGTTTTCAGTTCTTTTAACTTTGTGTTAATATGAAACTTCAAAAATGTTTTCAGAATGTGTCTGGTGTTGCTTCTCTAATTATAGCTTATTAGTAATTTCTGCAGTTTATTTTTTGAAATTTTAAATCCTCAAAAAAGTGAAAGTAAGAATTTGAAATCAAGCTAGGTGAATAAAATTGCTTTCTTCACATCACCAGTCTCTGAGAAATTTCTATGGCATTGATTCAATATGAAGAAATTAAGTGATTATTTGAAATCAAAATTTGGATGATGAGCTACGTTGCTTCAGAATGTTAAACTATAGTTCAGTGTCGTAAAGAATGTTTTAGCATTTCCTTCTTCTGCAAAAATAGTCTGAATTTGTGTAGTAGTAGGTGCCTCTGGAGTCCAGATTGCCGAGAACATAGTGATAAGGGACTTAGGAGCCAGGAACCATGGGCTCAAGCTGCTGTTCTGCTGTTCTGCTGTCCACCAAACCACAGCCCTGTGGGGTAACCAGGCGGCCGTTGCTGCTCTCTGTGTCAGGACACGCTCTCTGCATTTTGGGGCCTTGGGTAGCTGATGACCTGTTATAAACCGCATTATGATCAACCCGCTTTACGTTTAACAAGCTGCTTCCAGGATATGTGTAAACATAATAAAAGGTTCGGATTGCTTGCGCTGTAGGGGCACTTTGCTTTCTTATCCCAGTCCTAAACAGCACAGCTACTGTGGGTTTTTGGAAGCAGTATGGATTTCACCACCTCATTCAGAAGCTGTTTTTTATAGACAGTGTCAAAGTTTGATCCAGTCATTTTTACAAGCAGCCCTTTGTCTGCACGCAAAGGGCCATTCACTTAAATGAAGTGCTGGGATTTGCCCTCATTGCTATAAATCAGAGTGTGATCTGGCTCTGCTCTTGCCAGAAATGATTACTTGCGTTAAACTGAGCCGAAAGGCCTGGCTTAAATCTGGTCCACTGAGGGCCAGAAAAAGAAGCACGGTGATTGATGGTGTTTTTCTTCATGCTGGCTTCTGTTTTAACACACTGGAAAGTAATAACCTTGAACAAGATAGATTCTCGGTTGTCACTGATGCACTGGATACACCAGCGCTTTCCTAATGGTCTTTGTGTCAATTCAATCTCCCGCACAGCTGGCTGAGGAGCTGCAGAGCAAACCGCCGAACAGCGAGATCAGGGAGCTGCTGAAGCTGCTGGCAAAGCCCAATCTCAAGGTGAGGATGCAGGTTGCACCTGCAAGTGCCTCCCCCGTGGGTGGCTGCGTCTGCGTCCCAAGGCCGCGCTGCCTTCTGTCGGCTTTAATGAATACRAGTGCCTTTAACAAGGGACGCACTGTTGGTAGGAAATAACTGCTGCAAAGAAACGTGTCTGCGCTGACAGTAAGTTATTACACTGTTACTGATATTTATAAAAGTAATTCCATAGAAATCTGTGGCTTATTTACAGTGGATAATCCAGAAAGTTGATACTTGACTGTATAAGACACACATTTCCCTTCCTGCATTGTTTGCATGTAAGTTTGTGTGTGTGATGGGGAAGAACTGCCTGTATGCCTGCTATTTTTGCCCAGTCAGTGTCTTCTTCACCCACCACCCTATGGCAAATATAGGTGCAGGAGTTGGTAAATACTTTACCCTCCATCGTGTTGGCGAGGTGAGAGTACTGCATCCAGGCATGGGCTACTTTGAGTGCCTTGATTACTTTCCCCCACGCTCCCAAGGGCAGAAAGGGAAAGGAAAGATGGGGGGCCTCAGTTTCTCCAGTTCCCTCCCAAAGGTTTCTTGAGGTTGAGTAGTGTCTGAGCTTATGCAGTACACTGCCAAAGATTCCCTATCCCTTCTGTGTCATTCCAGGCTTTACTGATGCCTGGAAAAGATTTCCTTGTTTTGTCCTTTTGTCTAGATTCCTGGGGCAAAATCATGTCTAAAACAACTCTTCCACATATGAAATTACTTAGGGTAACTGATAGTCTTTTCCAAAATGTGTGTAAGGTTTTTCTAAAAATTGCATAGACTTCATTTGGGATTGACTTAAACTAGCTGCATGTTATTCTGCTAGGGAAACTCTCCTCTCCTGACCTGGCTTTAAGTATGGTGTCAGCTGGAGACAGCAGTTGGACTTGCACCTTCTTCCAGCTCCACTCTAGTACATTCATAGGGAGATGAAGGATGGCTAGGATGTATTTACTGCATTACAGTTGTGTAAAGGGACAGATGTTGGAATGTAATTATAAGTTCATAGACTTGGTTAATGTGCAAAAGAAAAAAAAAAAGAATGAGTGACTGATAGAAGTTTCTAGCAACAGCATTATTAGATGAATATTTACATATTTTCTTTTTATATTACAGAATTGTCTGGTTACATATATCCTTTTGTATCTGATACATTAAGTTTTGACAATGTTTTGCACATATCTGTTCACATGTGATATATGAAACTTTGACAAGTTAATGTTATTCCATGGTTTTCATCCACAAAAGAATGTTCTGAAGAAGAAAATAGTTTCTTTCTGAGACAGTTATATTCAACAGAACTGAGATTTACAAAATGTGCTGGAACCTATCCCAGGGTTCTGCCAGGTGCACTTTCTTCTTGTTCTATCCCATATGATTACCCGGGAAGTAGAACAGAACTCTTAGCTCCAGGAAGAAATCAGGGGGCCTTGTGCATCTGTGTGCAAGGTTTTGCATTGGTGCTACAGTTTAGAAACAATAGTCCTGTGAACACAGGCCAGCACATCTATTGTTTTCCATTTCCAATGCTAAGTAATGATTTGTGATTTACATGAATCCTGTTATATTTAATAAAGGCAGCAAGAAGTAGAATAGTATTTCCATACCTTAGAACCTGAGTCCACGTGGATGCGATGTGCGATTTTTGAGCTGGCCAGGAGACAACACCTTGAAATGCATCTCATGATCTCTTTCATAAAACCTAAGTACAGCAACTTACATCTCAAGTTTTTTGTGTCGCAACTGCAAGTGTACAATTAAAGGCCTACAGTCAAATGGAGAAGATAACTACTAATGGACATTCATACTTCCAGTGCGTTCTTAGGCCAGTTTAAAAGGCAGCTGAGTGATAATTAAAAATCAATCATATGAATSAATCAATCATAGAATCACAATATGGTTGAGGTCGGAAGGGACCTCATATGAAAGAGTGATGCTAAATAACTAGAACTAGGTGTATTGAAGCTTATATATTGTGTTGTATATGTTCTGTTTCTTGAAGCGGTGAGGTATGGGGGCATCGCTGGGATTTTGTTTAACTCAGCTGCAGTAAAATACAGGACTGAGGGTACTTGGGATGTGTGTACGTGCAGCTGTAGGTAGCCTGAGCCGTGCTGTGCGGCTGCAGGGCTGCCAGGCCGGCTCGCGGCAGCGCAGGCCGCGCCGAGCGGCTCTTGGGCCGCGCCTGGTCACGTCTGCCTGACATGGAGCGCAGGCAGGCCGCCCTCGGGTCTGCCTCTGTGGGACCCTCCAGCCTTCTGAAGAGGAGATTTGTGTCTTCCTCAAGCATTTCTGTATTTTTACAGGCTGCAGTAACCACAGAACTCACGGGTCACGTAGGCCTTGCGGTAAAGCAAGCCACAGAGCAAGGCACATCCCTGGTTCTGATTGCTGTGCACTTCCTACTTTGGACCTTTAGGCTCTTTTGCCCCTTACAACATGAAGAGCTGGCACTTTAAATTACTTACCTATTTGGTAATTTGTGTAGTGATYTAAACAGCTGCCGCACTTTTCATTATAGGCACTAGATAGTGTGGTGTGTTTGGTAAAACCTCAAGTGAGTAAGGAATGGAAGACCATGTTGCTGTACCTAATGTTTTATTCTGTGTGATTAAGGAAAATAAGCCATGTTTGAAGATGTTAATTCCTGGCCTGTTTAGAAATGGAACAGTGCAAGTAGATACTTAGATTTATTTCAGTTCCTGTAGTCACTTCTAAGACTTGGATAATTCCTGAGGTGTAACCATGAATTAGATATTTTTAGTGTATTTCAARCTTGCCTTGCTTATTTTTTAAAARAATAATTTTAAGAAGTAGTTTGTATTTTCAAGATATGTATTTTACATTGCAGATTTGTTGGCAGGCAATTACAGGCTATTGTGGTTATGTGATTCTATACACATTTGTGTGAAATGACCAGGAATTTCCATAGTCTGCTGTTTACAGTGTCCAAAGAAGGAAGGAATATCTTTTAGCTTGCTTGTCTAATAACAACTTGAATGTGTATGCTGTAAATACACAGCATATAAAGTTTGAGATAACACTGAGCATTTATAACATGCATAAAGGATAGTAGGACAGAGTTTTGTTTTTCTCAGCTTATAGCTAGCTGAATTAACCTATGTTATTATCTGGTTATTTGCTAGCTCTGAAATTATCAAAAAAAAATCAAGAGTGATGTTAGAATTTTAATCTGCAAAACTTTTAACCGTAGCTGAGTTTAACAAATGGATCTTTTGTGTCCTTCCTTCATTTAAACAAGACTGCATGTATCAGACTCTAACGTTAAGGAGCAGACGAGGTGCTTTGTTGAGTGTGCTGGTGGGTGTGCTGCTGAGTGCTAGTGTACCACTTTATATAAAAACATAGGATCTGGGAAAACTGGACTGAAGAAAATTCTTTGAATTCCATTTTTCAATTTAAAATAGTTCCTACCTATGCATTTCACTGCAAATATCAAGGAAATTTCRCTRTCAAGATGTAGATCTTAGCTCTGCTTACAGTTCTAACTTACTTACTCTTAATAGAGGGCATTGACGTTTTATTTTTCCCTGAAGTATTTCTGTTGTAGGTATTTGCATACTTTCTGCAGTTTTTAATAAAATGTGAAAACAGAATTAGCTCTAGAACAGTGTCCTTACTATCACAATCTTTGTTTTGCATTAGAACTAGGAAAATTACATATTTATGCATATTTTCTTCTTTTATTAAGGAAAACCTTTACAAATTCTTTAAGTCGTGCAAATAATTTGAACTGAATATGCACAAGTAGTCAGTACRTTCTCCCTTTGTGGCTGATTTTGACTTGACTGTGATGATACAGGAGGGAAAAAACAATAAGTAGCTGAATTAAATCTGAAAAAAAGAAATGAATTGGGTACGTTCCAGTATTCCTAGATTTTTTTTTCCAGTTGAGATATTTACACAGTATTTTACAGCTGACTTGGTGTTTGTCTTGTTCCTCTATATTCYTATTCATTGTTCCAAAATCTATGCAATTACTTTGATATATTATTTTCCTTATAAACACAAAAATCAGTGTCCATCTAAGAAACAGGAAATAAAGATGAGTGTTGCTTTAAGTTGTATAATATTTTAAAGACTTGAAACTCTTTTCAAATTTTAATTAAAAACTCTTCATGATTGCTGACTCCTAATTCCTTTACTAACAAGCTTGAAAAGCTGTGTTCTTTTTGGGACACTGCCATAGCACTGGGGCATAATTGTTATTTGTTTTATAAAACATTTGAAATATAAACAACTAAAAAAATTAACCGTGAGACTTAACATTTTAGGTGCTTTGCTTGTGTGCCTGCAAACCCGGAAGGCTACAGAAAGAATGGACCATTTTTTAGTCTCTTTCATGATTTTATCCCAAGTACATTCACTTTGAGACCAACTTGAGATGCATTATTCAGATCTCATCGACTCTTAATTTTGTGCCTGTAATGGCAATTATTTTTTCAATCCTTTACATATTAAAATGAGATATCATTTGAAATATATCCCTATCAGAACAAGTAGAATGTTTTTTAAAAGTCATATAAAATATACTCTTTGTAGTCCTAGTGTACTGAGCAGAACAACAGTTATTTTTAAAAGCCTCTGCGTCTATGCTAAAGCTATTGTAAGGGATGATTATACCTGAATTATACCTTATGACCTGGAGGAAATTAAACTCCTTGAAGCTCTTAAGAATTCCAGTGGTGGTTCTGCCTGTTTCTGCACGCTGTTTTCTCTTGTGTTTATGTGCTCTGAAAGGATTGCCAGCCACTAGTTTCAACCATAAAACGGGTTCATAAACAAGGGCACAAGGCACAACTGTGAATGACTTCAAGGYCTCGTGGTACAGGAGCATGTAAATTATTTGGAGCGCTTGAGGAACGGTACCTGTGGCTGTGCAGGGAACAAGCAGTGGACCTGCTTAACGTATTTTTCTTGGCTTCTTTTTTATTACCCTAGAACGAGTAGAATTTTGGAAG